GGCCAGGTGCAGTGGCTCATACCTGTAATCTTAGCACTTTAGGAGGCTGAGATGGGTGGATCACCCAAGCTTAGGAGTTTGAGATCAGCCTGGGCCACATGGTGAAACAACTCTACAGAAAATAATTGTTTATAATAAAAATTAGCCAAGTATGGTGGCACATGCCTGTAGTCCCAGCTACTCAGGAGGCTGAGGCAGGAGAATGATTTGAGCCCAGGAGGCGGAGGTTGCAGGGATCTGAGATTGTGCCACTGTAGTCCAGCCTGGCCGATAGACCAAGACTCTGTCTGATAATTAAAAAAGGAATACTTATCAATTATGGTTACAAGTTGTTGATATTTTAATTCAATCTTCAATTAAAATTTTCCACTCATCCTTTTTCCAGGATTCCTCAACAATTAAAGTAGGCTACAGAAAAAAAGCGACAGTTTATAGCAATTCTTAATATTCTAAATTTAAAAAAAAAAGATGTAAATTGTGTGCTGAGGATGATTGACAATTTAAAAAATTATTTTATAATCTTATAGTAGCAATCTACCAAATATATCATTTTATGTGGTAAGGTTCTATATAAGGTTTAGTGGGTTTTGTTGTTGTTGCTGTTGTTTTTACATTTGAAGATGATTTATAATAAAAGAGCACCAGCCAGCCAAGTTGAGTTCTGATCATGCTCTGCTACTTGATGCTGATTTTTGGCAAGCCTCTTTCACTTTTGAGTTTTTTTTTGTTTTTTTTTTAATTCTGGAAGTGCCTTATAGTTTACCGTGTGTTTCATATCCCACATCCTCTCAATATAATTGCAGAGTAGGGTATTTCTTCCAAAGGAAAGTATTCTAGGGACTTTCTAAGTGTATCCTTTTAAATATGTTACAGTTAAAGTGCCAGGTGGGCAGAGCCAGTTTTTTTGGTTTACAGCTTATGTTATTCAGTGTTTTTTTGGGTAGAAAATTAGATACTCAAGTATGTGGGTTTCTAAACTAGCTTCTTTTAAAGTTTGGAGTTCTTAAATTTTATACTTTTTGCCAGTTGATTAGTATATCAGTTTATCTGTGGCCAGAACTACATAAAATCCTGATTCCTCTTTGAAAGATTACCATAGTGAGAGGTATGAAGCAGACAGAAAAAGCTTTAAGAATTGAGTGCAAATGTTAACTGACCAAAGATCATAAACCTGATCGTTTATATGGTTTCTTAAATTAAATATAGAATATAAAGGGAAGTGAACAAGAGGGTATTTCGGAACAGGAATCTCACAGTTACGTAACATGTTCAATTCCAGATGTAGTGTCAGAAAACAAGAACATGATTATAATACCTTTCCACTTTAGAAATGTACCAGATGCGTTTTCCAAGCCCACCCATCTCCTACTTCTTCCGATGTGGCCAGTTGCGTGTGGCTTCAGCTGGCTAATAGAGGATTACTTAGTATTTCCCTTCCAATTACATTTTTGTCAAGGGTAGGTTGGGCCTTCCATACATTTGGCTAATTAGATAACTCAGTGCAATTATTTCCTTCAGATGTTTTGTCTATATTTTACAAACTTTTTTCATACAGTTTAGTTAGTAAATAAACAAACAAACATTTGAGTGTGCTGTACCAGCAAGTTGTCGTGCATCCTTTGTGGCTGCAGACCCTGGGATCCTTCATATGCTCCAATCTGATCCACTCCCTCATCCAGGCAGCATGCTAACAGCCAGTCTCTTAGGCCAGCAACATATGTCAACTCGTGCGGACAGCGTGCTGGTAGAAAGCATGTGGGTGCCCCTTGGGGAAGACAAGCCGATGTGGTTGCAGGAAGGTGGTGGAAGTGGACGTGACCATCTCATGTTTTAGTGCCCCGAAAAACTGCATTGTTTTAAGAATATTGTAGACATTATTTCCGTTGGGTAGCCATCCATGGCAACAAGACTGCTTGCTAATGGTTCTTAAACTTTGGAACTCCCAGAACAGCAAGGCACATATAGAATTTCTCTTGAGAAACTGCTATGTGGTGTGAACATGTGTCCATTCCACATAGGTTGTGCAGAAGGAGAGTTAGTCATTAGTTTAGAGTATTAACATTTATGAAACACCACAGCCCAGCTAGATTTAAAATTTTTAAAGTATTTGTGATTTTTGAAATTATAGATTTAAGTTAATGCTTATTAAAAATTTGAAACTCCAGAAAAGTTGCTTTGATCTTTCTTGATGTTTCTATGAGTCTACAATTATTTTCTCTTCATTCAAACATGGGCTTATAACTTTTTCTCCCACTTATTAATGGATTTTTTAAAGGCAAGATCTGCTGCAGTATATTTAGTGAATACAATATATGGCTGTATCAGAATTCAACCAGCAACCTAATAATGGATATTTAAGTTAATTACACTTTTACATTATATAATAAGGCTATTCTTCCATTATTTCATTTCTTAAGGTGACTTAGTTATTTTTAAAACATTTTGTAAACAAGAATTAGAAATAAGTCTACTTTCTAGGAATTTACAGGGAATCAGTGTGACAGGGGAAAGAACTTGTTTAGGAGTTAGAAGACTACTGTTAATCTTGTTTAATGACTTAATAGCTTTTTGATCTTTCCCAAATTATGCAAATTCTGTTTCCATTTAACATCTATAAAGTGGAAATACTTCTGTTAAGACAAAGTGAGATAATTATGTGAAAATTTTTAGTAAATTATTATTTTTAAAAAAATTCCAAGATGCAAAGTAATAACAATACCATCTTTACAAAAATATATATATATATATATTTACAATGGTAGATAATGTTTGTAAATGTGAATTCCATTTTTGCTCAAATCACTTGTATCAACCCTTTTAAATTATCTGTAGAAGTTCTGTAATCCCAAAATTATTCAAAACCTGTTTTACAACTTATAAGTAAAATGTATAGAATGAATAAGTAAATGTACATAAATACTATTGAATTAATTTACAAGCAACTATTTATAGCAGATTTTCATATATTTTCTTAAATACTAAAGGAATAATTGTGTGTCAGATATTCTGTAAATTATAACAGTAAAAGTAGACTTCATACTTGAACAAATTGGAAATATACATTGTAAAATTGCTTATTTTCCTACATATAAACTGTTAATCTACCATGACTGAATAGCAGACATAGTGAAAAGTGACTGAGGCGGTTTGATATAGTATAAAAATACTAGTCTGTTGTCAGGGAGGCTTGGGTCTGGTTTAAATCAACTAATCTTTGTGGAGCCACCTATTTGGGGCTAAGTACAGTGAGGGAATACTACAGTAGTATTGTAATCAATACCATTGTATTTATACAATGTACTCAGTGTACTCATCTTGAAAGAGGCAGGGGAGCTGGATTCTGAAACATGGGTAGGATTTGAACAGAGGCCCTAAAGAAGAATCAGTATGATATGGAAATAGTCATAGAGTGGGGTAGAACATGGTTTTTGGTTAATAAATTCTTCTTGGCTGGAGCAGGAAATATATAATAGCCAACAACACTGGAAAGAAAAATGATGGGGTCATCTTCTGGCAGAATAGGAGCTTGGATCAAGCTATAGTAAGCTGGTGAAGATTTCTGAATAATGATTGGAGTAATTTTTTTTTTTTTTTTGAGACAGAGTCTCATTCTGTCACCCAGGCTACAGTACAGTGGTGATCTTGGCTCATTGCAACCTCCGCCTCCTGGGTTTAAGCAATTCTCCTGCCTCAATCTCTTGAGTAACTGGGATTACCAGTGTGCACCACCACACCCAGCTAATGTTTGTATTTTTAGTAGAGACGGTTTTGCTGTATTGGCCAGGCTGGTCTCAAACTCCTGATCTCAGATGATCTGCCTGCCTTGGCCTCCCAAAATGCTGGGATTACAGGTATGAGCCACTGCGGAGTCATGTTTTTAGGAAGGTATAGCGTGCATTACATTATTAATTTTACCAGTATTACTTTATGTAAGTCATGTAGATTTTTGGGGCTCTTTGAATATTTAAATTCTTGTTTTCTACTCGTAAGAATATTCTTCAAAACCGATGTCAGAAATACAGGTTCTTTTCTTTTTTTGTTTGAGAAAATTGGATACAAGAAAATGCCTTAAATAAATTAGATGCTGATTATTCTTCTTACATTTGCTTGTTGCCTCTTTTAAACAGCAGATTTCTGTTTTGTTTTATAGTAGGACTAATTTATTCTTCAGCTTAACAAATATCCTTGATGGTATTAAATGTTTTTGAATAAGAACTATAGAAATATTTCTTGCCGTCTTAGGTTTACGGTACAAATTAGAAAGAAAGTTACAGATTTTTGAGGTTTCCTTGAAGCTCCAAAAGTCTGTAATTCAGATTGTTTTCTGTACCTTACTTTGGTTTATTTAACTAGCTCGTCAAATCAATCATTAAAATTAGTTTTAAAATGAGTTTTAGCTAGTGTCTCAAGTTGTTTTTAGAAAGAAGAGGTAAGTATTGTTATTAGGTAGTTTCTGTACTTAAATACAGAATAATTACTGATAATGATTTATTTACCTAAAGTAGTTCTTTGGGACACAAATAGTTCTTCAGGAATGGGTTGTTTCCTGCTCCTTAAATTGGCTATCTTTATTGCTATGTTTTTGTTGTTGGTTGTTTATACAGGGTCTCATACTGTTGCCCGGGCTGAGTGTAGTGACACAATCACAGCTCACTGCAGCCCCAGCCTCCCAGCCTCAAGCAATCCTCCCACCTCAGCCTCCTGAGTAGCTGGGACTACAGGTGCACACTACCACGCCTGTCTAAATTTTAAAAATTTTTGTAGAGATAGGTTCTCACCATGTTGCCCAGGCTGGACTTGAACTCCTAGACTCAAGTGATCTTCCCGTTTTGGCCATCCAGAATGTGGGGGTTATAGGGAACCACTGCACCCAGCCCAGCCTATTGCTATGATTTGACTGTTAGATTTACTTAGGAGAATATTTGTGGTAATTTTTTGGAAAATCATAACTTGAACTATGATTCAATTGAGCTAATACTGTTTCTTTTGTCTTTGAATAGTTGGAACTGATAATGGGAGAGAAGCAATTGAAAGTGGGGCTGCATTTCTCTTCATGACATTTCATTTGAAGGACTGTGTTGGTCACAAGGAAACAAAGGCTATCAAACAGATGTTTGGCCCCTTTCCATCGTCATCTGCCACTGCAGCTTGTAATGCTACTAATCGAATTATTTCTCATTTTAGTCAAGATGATCTTACTGCTCTTGTGCAGATGACAGAAAAAGAACATGGCGATGGTTTTTTTTTTGGTAAAAATTTAGTATTTTCATTTGACATGCATGATTTGGACCACTTTGATGAACTGCCAATAAATGGTGAAACTCAGAAAACTATAAGCCTAGATTATAAGAAGTTTCTGAATGAGCATCTCCAGGAGGCTTGCACCCCAGCACTCAAGCCTGTGGAAAAATCAAATGGCTCCTTTTTGTGGTGTGAAGTTGAAAGGTACTTAAATTCAACTTTGAAGGAAATGACTGAAGTGCCAAGAGTAGAAGATCTTTGCTGTACTTTATATGACATGCTTGCTTCTATTAAAAGTGGTGATGAACTTCAGGATGAGGTACAGTTGAAATTATTGTTTTTTTATGTTAATGTAAACTATCTTAATGAAATAATGTTTTTAAACATGGTGGTTAGGAAAGAAAGGTCTTTAATATTCTGTATAGTAGTTGAATATATAGACAAATGGTTTCACATAGCAGGCCTTTATATACTTTTCCACTGGATAGTTACAGGTCTGAAAGTGTAATGAGTGTAGCAGAGGAGTCAGGAGGCAATAGTTGGGTGTCCACATGTCTTGTTTACTGGGACAGTACTTGTTTGATATTAACTTAATTTTAATACTGGACAAATTGAATGAGTAATGTATTTCATGAAGGATTAAGAGAAATGTCATACCATTGTAGAAAGGACAGAGCCTTTGAAATCAAATCTTTGGGCTATCTCAAGAAGACATAGAGAATTGTTAAAAGCATTGAACGTGATATATGCAAAATGGTAAGTAACAGTAAATAATCATGTGGTAGCTGTGATTTTTTTTTTGTTATTATTGGAATTAAGAATTTTAAAATCACACTGAATATCAGAAATACAGAAAAAAATAATAGCTCTATTTTTCAGAGAAAAATTAATTTAGAGAATTAGTTAACTAGATATTGGAGGACTTAACCCATGGTAGCGATAGGTGTTATGCTGATTAACATTAGTTTGGAAGTAAGGTATTATATCGTTAATCCTGTGATCAGTCTTACTTACCTTGAATGTTTCACACTTGGTTTACTTTATATCAGATCTGTTCTACACTATTAAATTTTCTCTAACATTCTGAACATAATATCGTTTAAAAATTGTAATTTTTGAAGAAAATTTTACAATTTGCTCATCATAATTGAATACATAGCAGTTATCCTATTATGATTATAGTAAACTGAAACTTATAAATAGCTAATGGATATTTTATTTTCTTAGTGAGTCATAAAACCATTACTTCTGAATATCTATAGTAAGTTTGTATTTCTTAGTTTTTCACCCCAGTTTTAAGTATGTAACTGAATCTGATTGTTGGAAGGGTAATATTTTTTAATTCTAGATTTTTTTCATAATAGCTTCATTTGTCATGTATTTATTGTATGCTTAGTGTATTACTAGGTACAGTGCTATTTACTGAACATAAAAGGGTGAATAAGATAGCAAACTTGTTCTCAAAATTAATTGTCTAGCAGGAGGAGACATGTCAACAAATAACTATGCTGAAATATCATAGGTATTATAAAATACTACATGTGAAGAAAATGGGGACATAAAAGAACAAGTCATAGATTTTATATAGGTGTTAGTATGGTAGGAAAGTATGCATAGAGAAGGTTAAACTTTAACCAAGTCTTAAAATATGACTAGATTTAACTTTTTCAAGTGGACCAGAAATGTAGGGAGCATATTTCAGGCTTTAACACTTTCAAAGAGCTGTAGTTCTGTACAGCAAGAGTTGCAAAATGCAAAGGTGAAGTTCTGAGAAATAAGGGTATGCAGATAGGTAAGAGCCAAATGAGGTGCGGGCTGTGCACCTTGTTAAGGTGTATGACAAGCCACTATGAAGCCTGCATAGTGTGGCTCAGTGATTTTTTTCAACCAGGGTTAATGGATAGTTTAACATGTAAGTTAATGTTTCACATCCTGTCAGTGACTTGAGTGGTATTTCTATATGGTTTTATATAGTCAGTGTTTTGGCTTTCCTGTTTATATATGAAAATGAACGATCATTATGATAATTTTTGTTCTACAGCATACGTTATTCATGCTTTATATTTTAAATACATTTCCTTGCTGTTATATTCTGTTGTTATAGCAGATTTTCAGTATAATTTTCAAGTGATGCTTCAGTAGTTTTCTACAATTGTTTTCTTGCAGGTGCCTCACTACAATTGTTCTTGACCAGTGCTTTTTTCACTTTCGGGTATTCTGTACCTTCTGTGTTGTCTATTTACTTCTAAATACTTCACTTAAGCCTGGAAAGAGGGTAATTAAAAAGCCAATCAATTCATATGATAACAGTTAATTTCTATTTCTTTCTAAACTTTTACTTGATTCTTTAGTTAAATAGGAATATTTAAGTAGCATGCTGTGTTCTCTTGCTCCAGAAATTTAGCAGAACCACGGGAATATTTTTACAAATAATCTAAGAAAAGTATATAAAGCTATTGCTATGCTGATGGCAAAAATTCTTCTCAATATATGGTTTCCCAGCTCTTAATAGTTTATTGACCTAATGCCTACTTGATGATAAAGGCATTATATTATTATTAAGCTAGTGTTAGAAAAAAAAATGGGAAAAAAGTATATTCATATGATTACATTTACCACAAAGACTGTGTAAGAGAGGTTCCTGACTGAAACATGAAGAGGAATAGTACTAATGACAGTATTAGTAATAGCAACTGACATTAATATATGACATAAGGCATTACGTCATATGCTTTATGTGCATGACTTCATTTAATCTTTATAGCAGTGCTTTGAGATAGGCAGTGCTGGATGAATATGTTAGAAGCCCTAAGAACTGACAAGGTGCACTCTGAGGCATTTCTCCTCCCCTCCCATATGTGATTAATTTTTTTTTTTTTAAATAGCATACTAAAGCAAACAAAAAAAAACAAAATTTTATTTATTAACATGGTGATGAAGTTGATGTCTTTTTTAAACATCAGGTTCCTTTTTAAGATCTTTTTCTAACTTTCCTGGTCTGTTTTGCTGTACCTTAAGGAAATGCTTTGTTAGCCTCATAGATTATTGCTTGCTGGTGGCAGGTATTTTATAGATTATCAAACTGAGTTTAGAGATTTTGGGAAATTTGTCTGGAGTTGCAGAGTAGGTAGTGGATCCAGGATATAAATTCAGACATTCTGACAAAGTACACAGGCACATTGAAGTTTAAGTAGATTTGTACATATGCCTGTGTTTTGAAGCTAAGCATCTTAAATTTATGTAGGGGAATTATTGACATTTACTCTTAATTTATAATTTTTTTAGAAACAAGATCTTTTCCTTTATGAGTCTCAAATAAGGAAATGGCTGAAATAAAAGGATGAAACTTTTAGACCCTGTTTAAAATGAGTTTTAATAATTCCTCAGGGAACTCATTACATAGAAAGTACGTCCATGTTCTCCTGTGTGTTGTGCTAATAAAACAAAAACCCGCTTCTTAGCTTTTATCGATATCATCCCCTTTTCCCTCCCTTTGTTGAGCCTCTATGTTACTTTCTTCCAAGAGCATTTCTTCTTTTGGCTTTTGAAATTTTTCCATTAAGGCTGTGGGTATTCTGATTAAGCCTTAGAATTTGATTGGCTAGATGATCTTTAAGTTTCTTTATGTTCTTGAATTTTGTTCACTTTTAAAAGTGCATTTTAACTTCCAGAAGCGAGTAAGAGTTGAATACTTCATGTTATTTTCTTAATCAAAACCTGTCCATTATTGGTACAGATTATCTTCCTGCTGCTGCTGTTTCAATACCAGAATTGTAGCAGTAGGGTTTGTTCTATTGGGATGGTATAATTATTGGACTTTTCAACAGCAAATTTTCCTCCAGAAAGTAGCATTAATAACAGTAAAGCTACCAATTTTTAAGTGCCTGTTATGTGTGGACCTGAACTAGGCTTTCTCCTTTGAACTAACCAGCTTCTTCACAGTCCTGCAACATGTAGAAGTGATGTCCTCTTTTAAAGGTAAAAAAAAAACGAAGGCACAGTTGTTTACTAAAGTTGCAAAGCAAGACAGTTGTAGAAATTCTGGGCTTTTTTTCTCAGCATAGGTCTACCATTCCTATCTAGTATGCCACCAGATTTTTTGAGGAAAAGAACATTAACTGCAAAGTTCTTTGAAGGAATTTCTTTTCTTATAAAACCAGGCCAAAGTTTGCCTCTGTTTCCTTATGTCTTATTGACTCTGGACAAATTACTAAGTCCTTGTGAACCCCAGTTCTCTAATTTGTGAAATAATTTGCTTCACAGTGTTGCTGTGAGGACTTGTGAAATAATATGTATGAGACATAATGTTTCTCAGACTAGGTTCTCAAGTGTTAGCACCATATATTTGCACAGTCAAACTTTTATTTAGGTGTATATCTTATATGTCAGTAAATAAATTTTTATCTATGCTTTCTTATCTATGGATGTTTCAAATAATAAAATGATGCTTAAAAGCTAGGTCTCAATTCAGATAATTATTTCTTTTTTCCCTGTTTGGCTTTTTAGTGTCTCGCTACCATGAAGAAAATCTTTTGAATTAAGTTTTTGAAGTGAGTTCTGATATTACTAGTTCTTGTTGAGGTGGAAAAGATGTTAATTTAAAAAGTGCTTGAGAAATATGTAATCTGAAAGGGATCTGAAAGGCTGGCATATTGGAGAGTTATTGGAGTATACATATCTCAGTATTATTTTAATATTAAATATTATTTGCAAAGCTGTTAATGCTGATGTAAATATTGATAGAGTTACTGTGTAATTAGTTTTTAGAAAAAGTGAGTTTTGAGTTTTATTGACACAACTGTAGTTTGCTTTTGTGCAGATGGGCCGCTTCTTTATAGCTGTGATTTGACATTTGCTGTTAGTATTATCTCTTGACCCTATGCAGATGGTGTTACTTGACCCAAGCAAGTTCATTTCTGAACCTAACCCTGTTCCAGATATGTGTGTGATGTCAAGGAATTTGAGTTATTTGGTTACATTATCTTATGAGGGAAGACTGTGTATTTTTTGGAACTTATTTGGAGCACAGTTTGATTCTATTATCCTTTGAAATTTTGGTGGAGAATAATTAGCTTGTTTTAATAAAACGATTCTCAAGCTTTTTGTTCTGAAAACTCTTTTGCACTCTTAAAAATTACTGAGGAACTCATAGAATTTTTTAAATGTTATTTATCTATATTGATATTTACCATATTAGAAATTAAAATTGAAAATTTTTACTATGTTAATTTAATAAGTGTCTATTAAATCAGTTTTTTTTTAGTCTTTATAATTATCCTTTCAGAGACAGAGTCTCATTCTGTCAGCCAGGCTGGAGTG